CCCGCTGGCTGCCGGTAATCGCCGTGCTCCGGGGAGGAGGTTAAGGGATAAGTTAGCGCGGTGGTGATATGCGACAGTATTTATTTATTTTGGAAGGAAGGCTGTAATTAACCCTAAATAACAGCCTTGCAGCGTGCAGGGGGGAGCCTGCTGGCCCCATCAAAGCGGGCAGAACAGGGAGTGACTGAGTGATGTGAAGTCGCAGATACTGAAACTATGTGCCTGATAATGATATAATTAGGGGATCACAGACTTCTGGCTGCTGTTGACTTCAAAAGCTTTAAGAGAAGCCTGCAGTCTCTCCTGTAGCCATCTTGACTAAAAGCAGACATTTTTCTTTAATAGCTACATACAGTAACAAGAAAGAGGAGGGAACAGAAGGGCATTGTTCACTGTTTCAAAATACTAAATACCCTTTCTGGCCTTTTGCATAGAACAGGAAGAAACTTTATGAATTGACAGAAATACAGTTTTAATACAGTAATACAAAGTCCATTCTGTTTCACTGAAAACGTGGCTTTAATTAAAAAGCAGTTGAATTAACCTGATGACTGGCCTGTCAGATTTTGTTCGTAAGATTGTCTTAAGTCAATAAAACATAGATTTTTAAACGTGATTGTATAAGCAGTTAAAATGAAAATATGTGTATTGTTTCACTTTATTCCCATGCTGTGCTGAAACTCGTGAAGGGACTGTCAGCTCTGGTACTGTGCCATGTTTGCATCTTACTTTTAACTCTCATACAGTGAGAAAATTATGAAGAGTATTTTTCTCAGAGAGGGTAGGGGGAAGACCTCATATGGAATGCTTAGAAAACGATTGAGTCTTTTTTTCTGTAACATGCTGGATGACAGTGAGTGTGAATTCATGAAAAATTAGGTTACTTAGTCTAAAAGCCCAAGGGAATTGGACTGGAGACAGTGAGACACTCCATCATTTGGCTTCTATTAAGCAGAGTTATTAAAGAGCAGCGGGAACTTCAAGGCCTGGAGCCTGCAGTAGCATTTTGGAGAAAGTATTAAAGTGGCCCAATGAGGGGAAACTAACTTGGTTGGGATGATTTTTAACATCTTGCAGAAGCAGTTTTGTTTTAGGTATAGGTGGTAAGTAGCATCATAAGAAGGGGTGGCAACTGGGAAACCTGTAGTTTGATTTTTGAATTGCTGATTGTAGAAGGAAGAAATCTGACAATTTGATCGACTTTAAAAGCCTTGGTGCCACTGTAATGGCACGTACCATGGGCACATCAGAAGTAGTTTTAAGTCCATTCTTCCAAGGATGACTCCAAAATCTGGCTTCCTCTTAAACCTTGGCTCGATGGCACATTGAATTATGTTTGAGTTGCAACTTGCCTAGAAAGAGTAAGTTTTCACTACAGCACAGGACATGTTTAATTCGTACCAGAGCAGTTTGGAGAGCACAAAATGAAGAGTTTTATGAAGGGAACCTTTTTATCGCTTCCTTCAGAAATTTTTGAGGTTTCCTGAGATTTTTTCATAGAGCCGGTAGAGGATTTTCAATCCAAGTGTTTCCCCTTTTTGACTGCATGTTGGATTGCATGTGAAATTGGAGAGAGGAAAGGGGGAGCTTTTAGCCTTGTAATTTCACCCCATTTAATGACTTTAAATTTGAGTTGAGAGACATTGCCTCTGAACAGAATAACTGTAAACTGGAACCTTTTTTTTTTTTTTTATAATACTGATAAAAAAGCCGTTTTGCATGAATAACTACTTAAAGAATTTCTTTCTTTCTGGAGAAATTACAAATAGTTGCTCAGTTTCACACAGAAAAAAACCTTCCTGACTGGGAGACTTGGATGGTAATGGTTCTAGCTAATAGCTTTATAAGGTGTTAGCTAAACCTGTTAAATTTTGGCACAGTATTGAGAGGTAATAAAGAATTCAGCAGTTCCGATTTTTTTTTTTTCATTTGTCACATAAATATTTAAACCTGGTATTTTTGTTGTGTGCTTATGCCCGGTTAAAAAAAAAAATTACTTTTGTAAAAATAGAATGCTGTTCCTGGAGTAATGGTTAAAACATAGATGTGACTTTCTTCTATGACTGAAGGTGTGTGTTGCTTTTAGAACTGGGATTTCACTTTAAATGCGGTTAAATGCAACTGCTGACAGCAAGTGGAAGTAGCTATAAAATGGTCTTGTTAGTTATTTACCTTCGGAAAAAAAAGCCACTGTAACATCCCCCGCCCCAACTCTCCCCCAAGTCCCTGTTTTAGTGAAATGCTTTTGCTTTAATTCAAAGGACCATGGTTCTAGTAATTAAAGCGAGTGCCCCAAGGCACTTGCAGGGATTAAGGTTACAACGAGGTAAGCACTGTACAGTGACGGGAAGGAAACAACCCAGGCTCTTGTGGATCTACAGTCTCTGGGTGTACCTCAAAACTGGCACTGAGTTTGGTTGTGTGATCCTTGTGGCTAATAAGAATATCTAGTGAGGTGTCCTTAGGGAACCAAATTCTTACCTATCTTACACTTTTTTTTTTTTTTAGGTGAGATCAGATGCTACTGTGATGCTGCACACTGTGTTGCAACCGGCTATATGTGCAAATCTGAGCTTAGTGCCTGCTTCTCCAGACTGCTTGATCCTCAGAATACACATTCCCCGCTTACTCATGGCTGCTTGGACTCTATTGCAAGCACAGCTGATATCTGCCAAGCCAAACAAGCACAAAACCACTCTGGCACCACCACCATGTCCACATTGGAATGCTGTCATGAAGATATGTGCAATTACAGAGGACTACATGATGTTTTGTCTCCTTCCAGGGGCGATACTTCAGGTAGGGCAATAAAGCTTCAGTGAAATGTCTCTTCTGGCCATCAGGCTGGCGACAGGCTAACCCTTGTGTGTCTGCTGTTATTGATCTAGTTGTTAATGTAAGTAGAGGCACCAGAGAGAGGAGTGGGTGGCTGGATGCGGGGGAGCATCTCGACCAATTAGCTTTTTTTATCTGCATTAATATTGGAAGTCTGTCGGAGGGCAGAAATTGTGTGAACAATTTCTATTGCATTTCTGCGACCTTTTGCCTTGGCATGGCTGGGTGCAGACAGTAAAAAGAATACTGCGCCACTAATATGGCTGCAGGCCTTGTGCCAAGGTGAAGGAGGAGTTATTTTGGCAGGAAAACAAGTTTTATGGATACCTGCTGTGGTCCAGTTGGTACTGTAGAGCTCAGTGTGTTTTCCTTATGTATCCAATGTAACCTGGAAAAGAATCACGTGTCTCTGTGTCACAAACAGCATATAAGTTGTCTTCCCTCTAATAAAGCAGACATTTTGCCTGATCATATTGACCTAAGAGCATTCTGTCTGTCCCCCTCCGCCGTTAGAAGTCTCTCTTGCCAACTTTTGACATTACTTCTGAGAATCAGTGGCAGTGATTTTCACTGTGAAATCAGCTCTTGGAGTAAGAAATTCCATGTTATAAGCTACCTTAGAAACTCATCTTTTTTTCTTTACCAGGAATATTTTCTGTAGATACTGCAGAGTGTAGCTGTTGTTCCTTAAACTTGTCAGTGTGGGATTTAGGGGAGTTGCTTATGTGTAAACCAGTGTAAATAAATCCTGAAATAAGCTTCACATCTTTCCTCTTTTCAGGACAAGGGAGCAGATACCAACATGACAGCAGCAGAAATCTCATCACCAAGGTGCAGGAACTGACTTCTTCAAAAGAGTTGTGGTTCAGGGCAGCTGTAATTGCTGTTCCTATAGCTGGTGGGCTGATCTTGGTGCTCCTTATCATGCTGGCCTTGAGGATGCTCAGGAGTGAAAACAAGAGACTGCAAGATCAACGACAGCAAATGCTCTCCCGTTTGCACTATAGTTTTCATGGACATCATTCGAAAAAAGGGCAGGTGGCAAAATTGGACTTGGAATGCATGGTGCCTGTGACTGGTCACGAGAACTGCTGCATGACCTGTGATAAAATGAGACATTCAGACCTCAGCAATGATAAAATTCTTTCGCTAGTCCACTGGGGAATGTACAGCGGACATGGGAAGCTGGAATTTGTATGACCAATTATTTTTTAATCTGAGCTGAACTTGCTCTCTGAACTCTAGAAGAAGGCCTTTGGGTTCTGCTGGACAGGAGCACTTTATTTTAAAACAAAAACTCTCATAAATCATCTTTGAGAAACAAAGGACCTCGCAAACAGAAACTTGGATATTTCTTCTGAAGGATTCCAAAAGTTGTCTTATTTGCACAGAGTAAAATACACTCAAATGTATTGTTTGCTTCAAAGTTATGAAAGCAAAAGTTAGAAGCTGTAAACACTGTCACCAGGGTTATCTGAACTGTAGGGAGCTGAGAACCGAGTTATTATAATAAACTGTGTGCAAGCTCCTATGTTTCCTGACTTATTGTAAAGATTTTTTTAAAATATATATATTTTGTCTGAAACTTGCTTGTGGCTTTTGTTTTGGAAAACAGGTTTTTTCTGGGGTGGTAGTGGGAAACAAATCAAGGTCATATGCATGGTAATGCTGTGCATAACAATTAGATTCTGAAAACAGACTCTTTTTCTACTCCATAAAGGAAATTAGGTGGTTATTAAAGAACAAAGGTGGCAGCTATGTTGTTTAATACTTCAAGTAACAGTGAACCTACATCCTCAATTCCTGGCTGTTGAATTTTTGTTCATAAACTCAATGAATTCTTCCAAAGCTTTGTGTGATACCTATTTCTTCTTCTCTGTTGATGAAGAAAGACTTCCTTTCTCTGTGCAAACCATGCCAGAAAGTGACTCCTAATTCTTTATAGCCGGTTTTCCTCCCTTGTCTCACTATTCCTGTTTCTATGATCTGTTTTCCTTTTGCACCTTTTACATTCGAACTTTTGGGGGGAGGAGAGGGAAACCCCAAAACCACACTGCCTATTCAGCTGTGGTTTGCTTTTTTCTTTTTTTTTCTTTTTTTTTTTTTCCTGTTTATAACCCTTCTGGGCGTAGTGGAAAGCATCTGCCTTGCTCTTCTGTCCTGTAACTAAGTATCACATGCTGCTACTTTTGTGTGGGACTGAAGTATCAACAGTGTTCTTTGATCTCTGACTCCTCCTTTATGCTCTTGCATAGGTGGCTTTTCTTCCCTGCCAATATTCGTGCATTTAGTTGTTTCTTACTCCTGCAACTAGTTGGCTTCACTTGATGGTTTCATTTATTCAATGCTTTGTTGCTAAAAACAAACAACCTCTGGATTATTCAAGGAATTTATTGTATTTATTTTTCTTGCTTTATTAGACTTTGCAGTAATTAAAGTAGATTTGCTTAAAAGACTGATGCCACATCATGGTGAAAGAAGCATCCAAAATGCTGCTGCAGAAGATAAAACTTGGCAAGAGTCTACTATTCATCTATGTTTTAAACAGCTTTAGAAGTGCTTCTGCCTCCTGTTTTGGCTGTGATGTTGAACTCCTGCTGCTGCCAGGAGTGAAAAAGGGAATGGCACACACGGGGTTACAACAACCTTGCAGCAATGCTCTGATCCTGAGTACTGTTTACTGTGGTAGATTCCTTTGGGATATGCAGCCTGAAATGCAAAGGGATGTAAGCAAGGAAAATCTGTCCTTCTAAGTCATAAGCTGGCGTTCCTGAAAGTACACTTAAACTATGCAGTAGGGTTGTTGTTGGAGATAAGTTGGTCACTTCGCTGTGCAAACAGAGGTATTGATATTGCAAACTTACCCCTACAGTTAAACACTCACACCAGCCAAGTGCAGTGAGAGCCTCGGGAATGCCAAGGTCCCACCGTGCCCATGTTTGCAATATTAAAGTGCAGTTTAGAAGGATTAATTTCTTCTGTGTACCTCAAGCTGCTGACCCTTTTTACTTCCTCAAAGTGCCTGTAGAGTTGCTTTTAATGCAAAAAATTGTATTCTCTGATTTCTACCTCCTTCTGCTGCTAACATTTAAGAAATTACATGGCCATAACTTCTTTTGGAATATGGCCTGTGGTCTTCTGGCTGACCTTTCAAAGTGCTGCTTTCCTATAAGAGCTCTGCCCTTCCTTTGCACTGCTCTGAAAGTCTAGGGCAGTTGTCTGCTCCACCAAGTGTATTATTTTTGGGAATGGCTGACTGGGAACTTGATGCTGAAAGAGACAAATACTGTCTGTCAGGCGTAGCTGCACCGGTAGTTACTATGACTAGACAAGTTAGAAGATCTGATAGCTAAACCTTTTAAGTGCTTTCTCGAATCAGAGGGAGCATGTTGTATAGTCATTTAAGCATCCTGTGACCTTCACCACTCATTTGCTGCTGATTTGAATACGTAAGGGCCTATTTATGCTTGCCACTAAAAGGCTAGTAAGACCAGGATGCTCTAATTGGCCCCTTGCTGTGGAGATGTTTTAAAGAAGAAAAGATCTTGTTTGCCATCCCCTGCAGTCATGGGAGCAGTGCCACAGAGTCGCTGAGGACGGGGCTTGAGTTCGCAGCTCCCGTCTCCTGTGGTTGTTCTGTTACCTGTTGGAGTACATCTAGTTAAGGTGTGGTAGCTGATATGGCTTACAAGTTTCTGGTCTATGAGTCTTCTAAGCTACTAAGATGAAAATTAACTCTCTCCCAGCTGAAACCGGGACAGTATAAAATTTGGATTTCCAATCTATTTTAAAGCCTCTGTATTCAAGAAGCTATAATGAGCTCTGGTGTCTGTCTGGCAGCAGCTATGTGAGTTAGGGAACGAACCCCAAATCTTTTCACTGAAACTACTGACTGCAGAGTCCGAAGGGTGTCGGAGCAAGCATTGCCGATTAGTATTTCTGTAGTGGCTGCTTATGTAGCCTACAGACCTCAGCAGCACCAGCTTTCCATTCAGAAAACTTGTATTCCTGTGACAAGTAGGGTCTTTGATGATGTTCCCTGCTGCTGGGTGCTGTACCAGCATGGAACAAGTCCTAGACACCCACTGTACCCAACCTAGTGTTACAACAAATATTAACAGCTGAAGAGCCTGGCCAGAGCCTGAAGGCTGAAGAGGTGAGACAGTAAGCAAAGGCTGTCCTTTTCAAATGCATTTGAGTTAAGAGCCTGGATTTGCCATTGTGCTACACACTCTCGGATTTCCCCTGCAGACAATAACAAACGCTCCTTTCTTTGAAACCCCTGCAAGCCTGAGAGTGTAAGAAAGGCAGCTCTCTCTATTTCCAACTCAGAAAGTCTCTCGGATTGGAATAAATAAAATCAAAAGTCCGCGATTTAGTATACCCCGTGCCTCTCTCTTTCTTCGATTCTTTCCTCAAAACACTAATGGTTGTGGCTTTTCTTATGTCTGTGCCTCTCCTGGCTTTGCGAGCTGCTGGGTTGGTATGTCTCCTCTTAACTCCTGCTGAACTGATTCTATTAAAAACCCCTTACTCCACAGGGGGCTTGACCTTTTTCTGAAATACCAAATGCGTCTGCTTTGGAAATCACAAACTTCTCCTCTAAAGAGCTTGTAAATCTGGTTTCAATATTGAGTGATTACAGGCTGTGCAGAGAGCTTGAAAGTAAGCAGCCACTTCTGGTAGCAGACTGCTGGAGCTGAGCTGCCGGAGCTGAGCGCGACTCTCATTTTTCACCCCAGTGTGTGTTTAACATAAAACCACTGACGTCAGCTGATTCACCCAGATTAGTGGTGGGGTGACTGGTCAGAGTCTGGTCGCAGGACACTTGTCTTCTCTTATCAGGACCCTGGAATCCAGTTTTTGTTGTTGCACAACCACTTGTTCTGTCGTAAACCCAGGGATCTCATTGCAAATGGATGATGCCTTGGAGGGCAAACACCCAAAAAAACCTGGGAAAAGAGCAAGTTTTTTTCTTTGGTGTAATGGATGCATCTGCACCTTCCCTTGATGCTGTTGTGATTGTTAAAACAAAGTATGAAGAGGGAAAATATATTGCCAGGCTGCCTGTGTGGGATGGGATGTGCCTGTTAGCTACTGGTCAGTGAGGTTCCATGGTGAATAAATGAAAGCAAAATTTGGCCTTCTCATTGAAAGGGAAGGAGATAAGAAGATTACCTACCAAGTGAAAAAGATTTACCAAGGAAAAAATGAACTACTGTCAAAAAAGACCCCACCATAATGAGGCACAAGTTGACTGAATAAAAGAAGAAGGTCTCTGAAGGAGGCAAAATTGCCTTAATTTTTTCTTTTTTTCAGATGCTTTCCCACATGGAGGTGACTGGAAGCATGTTTATTTTGTTCCAGTGTCTGGTCACTTTGCAGGAAAAAACTCTTCCTTGTTTTGATTCTAGGAGTTACTTGGGGAAATGGTATTTTGGATCTGTCATTGTATTTTATTTCTGGGAAAAAAAATGAGGTGCTGTAAAATTATGGTTATCTCTTGGGAGGGACCCAGTGTCTCCAACATTATGAATCCTGGCTCCCTCTAAATAAACAACCAACCTCGTTTTCTTTGTTTCACCTCTAACCCTCATCTGCAGCCTTTACAATCCCAGGAGGTGAATCCTGAAGTAAAACAAAGTGCAAGGGAAGGAAGCCAGGAGGGAGCCACAGTGCCTGCAGATTAAGAGCCTTCTGCTCTCCAGCCAACCTTGACAAAAGGATTCAATCCTGAACTGACCTTCAGGGGGAAAAGCAAAACAAAATCCACCTTGACTTGAACTTTCAAGACTGCAGCAGATTAATACTCAGTTTGATGTGTACTAAAGGGAGCAGAAAGTTAGAAATGCCAAACACCTGTCTTGCAAATCCAAATCCTAATAACTTAACAGGAAATCTAGCCCCAGATCATATGGATTGGAAACAGTGATGAGCAAATCCTAAATTTTTCAAAGTCATCCAGTGTTGCTAAAAGGGCCTAAAAATGTGGCTTTTATTCCCCAATGTGAATCTCTAGGCAAATCTATAACATTCAGTTAAGCAAATAGTAAGTTCTGTTGAAACATCAATGTTTAGATGCAACTTTTCACTGAATAAATATTTCTGTTTGGACGCAGGTCCTACCCCCCCCCCCAGCTCTGCTCTCTTCCCATAGGCAAGAGGGAATAGAAGTCAGCCCTGACTTCATGAAAAACCACAATGGCATGGATTTAGGGTGATTTAATTTTTTAATAGATTTTATTAAAACCAAAATGTTACAGTATTTTTCTCTTTCTAGTTATCACACTACTTAAATATATTAATGGCTGTGCAGTTGGGAAAAACGAGTTAAATGTATTGTTTCACTCCCCTTGGCTATCGGCTGCATTTGAAAAATACTGACTTGTGACAGCTTGTCAAGAGTGGAGCCTCTTCTGTAATTGCTTTTTTACCTTTTAGATTAAACTTTCAGGGTAGTGTCTGTGCAGCAGCAAGGCAATGAGCACTTGCCTTTCTCTTAACGTTTATTTTTACATTTCTATTTTTCAACCAAAAAAAGGTAGAAGCAGCACAATGACGAACTTCTGGTGCCTGTCTGCTAGA